AAAACACAATCCAATGCTTTGTGCTTTACGGCAACTGAGTTAGAGATGTCCATTTATACATGTAAACGCAAGCAGACAAAAAAACAAAATTCAATTTTATTCATGTATGTTAAGCCATAATACGATCTAAGTTATGAGACAAATTAATTTTTTATTTTTTTTTTTTTCATTTTATTACTCTAGAGGCATCTATAAGTCTGTTGAATTTGCTGCGTCAGTCCTTTTAAATAAAAAGTAATGAGATTTAACGAGATCCTAATAGTTAAAAGTTTGTTCTTCTATCAATAACGAAGCATCATTTCTAAAGCACTATGGACGTTCAATTTAGGGTGAGAGAATTTTGGATGCGATATATAAATTATTATTATTCATCATTTGTCAAATATGTGTGAATTTTTCATTCGATAATCGAATTTCCCATCTCAAGGCTAATTATGCAAGGTAAATAAAATAAGTAAGAAAATTATAGGGGAGCGAGACTGATCAATAAATATTCTACAACATTTTGCCCAATACGAGTCTTTAATCTATTTCGTCATAAATAATACCTGGAACATCTATACGCGAATGGGGCAACAAACATGCTCCATTTTCAAAGAGATTTTATTTTCAAATCAAAAATCGTTTTAATCCATTATTTTTGCTATAGAGTAGCGAGAGAGAGAGAAAGAGAGAGAGAGAGAGAGAGAGAGAGAGAGAGAGAGAGAGAGAACAATCGATATAGAGGTATACCATACCAATTCAAAGCTTACTTCTCATAAGAGCCCTTAGATAAGATAGAGCTAAACACGTAGACATATGTGTCCTTTTGCATAACAGAATTTGCCAATATTTGCATTCATAAGCATTCTTTTTTTTTTTTTTTTTTTTTTTAATCTTGTCTAAGGGACTCTTTGAATTTGTGGTCTTGGGAAGCGGTTTAATTTTAGGTGCGTCAGTGCTCATTTACGCAATAAAACGTAATATATCTAACTATATATGCATTTTGCGGTACAAATCGGTCGAGGCATTTCTGAAGCGTATGCTATACACTTACAATTGCGACAAAAGAATACAAAAACACATCATTTTTGATAAATCTTGATGTAACAAGTACATAGGTTAGGAAGTTATAGACTCAATAGATGTGGCTGACTTATTTAACCATTGGCTGTCGGCATACTAGGCAAACCGATCGAGACCAGTTTTGCACATATATGGGATATATGGGTTCATGATAAAATCCTCTGACTCACGCGTGGCTGCGTGATTCTAGTGTTAAATGTTTTAGGCATTTTTGCCTAAGTTTAAGGCTTCAAAATTCATTCGGGCATTGTTTGCTAAATTACAATCCTTTTCGCTTAATAGCTTTGTGGAAATAAAGCGCTATATGGGGATTGAATGCAAGAGCAGCTCGATGTAATGCATTTTCAGTAGGGTCTATCTTTAAACCAAAGCGTGTCAGGTTTTATCTGCCATTTGTAAGTCGAAAACAAAGATACGCAAAAAAATATCGAACGGACAGATAGTCAGACTTAAATCGATTTTTAAATTGATTTTCAACCGATATAATGAAAATTGTGTGTCTATTTAAAGTCCTTCCGGGTGTCACACATACATCCTTAAAAAATTAACGTATTCCGATTTATAAGTACCATAAGATATAATTAAAAGTAGCAATGGTAGAGAAGTTAATGCTCCCTTCTATATACGTATATATAGAATATAGATCCAATTCTCGGTTCTCGTACTAGTGGATTGCATAATCTCTAAGCGGTCAGAAATCATTGTTTCGCAGACAGTAAAAGTCGAAAACTCACTTTTGTATATTTACAGAGATGTGTGTACTTTTGCGGGATTTCAATGCGTTGATATGAAACCCTTCACAGATCTCAATGGCAGGATTGCCAACAGCATTGACTCATGAGCAAAAAAACAAGCTTTTATTCCTTTTAAAAAAACCGAGAACTCTGAGCTTACGTGCTGCTGTGTGTGTGTGTGTGTGTGTGTGTGTGTGTGTGTGTGTGTGTGCATTTTGATCTATCATTGACCTATCATTTTCAATATCAATCTGCGTGCAAGAACTTCCAATGTTTCTGTCAAATTTTAACGCGATAGCTTAATTTTTGCGGTCAGATGAATGTTTACAACACACATAACAAAAACGGATAGACACCAAGACAGACAGACGAACCTGCTAACGTCGTTTTAGAATTTCATGCTGATCAAGAATATATATACATTGTTGTGTCCCTGAAGCTTCGTTCTGGGCGCTTTGACAAAATGAATATACCCCTCATCCTTCGGTGATGGGTATAAAAAAGAACAATAATTTCATCATGCATCAGAGCGTATGCGAAATTTAAATGAAAAATTCACTTTACATTTTGTTCGCAGTATTTAAAAAATTTTATTGAAAAAGAGAAGTGAGTATTTTTGAAATCGTGCTTAATTTACGGTCTCTCATATATCAATTGGAACTATCAGCCGTAAATTTCGTTGAGAGATTATGCGTAAAAATCTCAAAGAAGCCTAGTTTTTATTCGATTCGATCATAGATTAGATTCTTTGATAAATGAGTGAACACACAATGTAATGCAAGGCTGCATAGGATCTCTTTTTGTACTGTGGATTTAATAATAATTTTCAAATAGTTCACGGGTGCGTATATGCGCGAGGGAAAAAGTGCGATTTTATCCATACGCATCAGAGTCCATTTATGTATCCATAGTTGAACTTTAAAATTTTATTGTTTGTGCGCGTATTTGGTTTATGTTCGTTTTCATTTTCCTCTCTTTACTTAATTTTATGCATTAATTCTTTATTATTAACACTCATTTGAAATGCAAATGATGCATGTTAGGTGAGTTGTTGGAAATGTTAAAAAAATTCTTTTTTGCTTTTTTGTTTGCATTTTTATATCCAATCCATTGTCCACGGTAAAAAGGGTGCGGCAATTATGTTAATTCACTTGCATATCCCATATATGAACGTGTATAGCGTGTATATTCTTGATCAAGGTAAGGTTTCGATTCTAAAAACCGCTCAAAACACTTTGAGATATAAATTTGAGATATAAACTAAAACTAGTCCGCCTTTGATACGAATTGAAGTCTAATCGCCCCAGAAAGATGGCTCCTTGATAATCCCGGAATAGAATGCAAAAGTCTTACATTTTCTTCTAGGTACGAATTTATTACGACTGGCAATTCGATGTGATGAAAGTTGCCACCTTTCTTTGCCAGTTAGTAATATGCAGTCGGAGAAGTCACCGCTCCGGCAGCTTGCGATAAAGGAAATAATAATGATAAGTTCACGGCAAACAAAAAGAAAATTCTTCATTGAATCCGATCAAGAAATATGCTCGATTTTGGTGTACGCGTCCAATAAGGTCTTCGTCGTATATCACTGTTTTACTTGTTGTTGTTGTTGTTGTTGTTTTATTCTTTTATAGTGCAATATATATAAAATATTTCTTGGCATAAGCCGAGTGTTTGAAAGTGATTAAAACCATTTTTTTATTTTTCACTTACGTTAAAGAAAAGGAAAATGATAAGAAATTTTCTGTTCACGGGAAAGTAAATTGCAAGCACTTCCTTTGAAAACAGAGCGCAAAAAAAAAGAAAAAATAAATAAATAAATAAAAATATTATAGTAGAGTAAGTAGACACGAAAACACTTAGCAACTGCCTTTGGCTAATTTGCTGAGAATTTACAACTTAACTCTGAGGTTTGTTCCTTTTACTCCTCCACACCTTAGAGGCATTAAGAGAAGGCAGAAATATGAAATGCAAAAAATTTAAGTTTTAAGACGTTACAGCGCAATATTATATATATATATACGAACAAGTTAATAAACTTGGTTTCCTCTTTCAAGGGGAAATCTAGATACGCATTATTTAGAGGGTCGCATTTTCCGCTTACAAACAATTAAATAAACAAGAGCAATTTTCACAAATAAATAAATGAATGATTTAGTAGTGCTTCATATCGGTACGAATCAATTTTTCCATGGAAAAATTCTAATTCTCGAATGCCAAGAGCTCTTCCTTTAACACACATTTGTAAAATATCAGAGGGGGTTATAAAATATTTCGGATATTCACGGAAAACACCGTAAAATTTATTTATTTTTTTATTTATTTATTTATTTTTTTTTTTTGTAATATTAAAGATGTTTTTGGAAATGTCTCTCTAATGCAATTGCTTGTGTTCATGAAACGCGATGTATTTTTTAGTATAGGCTTCTCTTGACTAAGCTAACTTAGTTAGGAATAAAATAATATTTATTTCGAAAAGCTTTGTCCATATATCGCTAAGATTGAAATTAAATTTTATATCTTATCTATTAATATTTGTTTATACATAATCTATGTTTTCTATGTTACCTACGGGTGTCGGTAAAGCTTTTTTCCAATACAAATATTTACAGAATTTATGAAGAAATTGTCTTTTATTTCGTTACAGATGATCCTAGGATTTTGTTTTCGGCGCAAAATAATTTAACTCGAATAAACAAAGAATTCAATCCAAAATTGCAAAATATCAAATTACCATATAAATCGGTTAAGTAAAAAGATAATTATGCAAATGCTAAGAAAATGTAACTAATCAAATTGAAAATTCCTAATAATTGTGTGTAAATAATTTCCAATCCTCTTATCACAGTTTCTCTATCTATTATCTTTCTATCATAAACTCTCTCGCTCTCTCACTCGCTTTCTCCATCTCTCACTATCTCTCTCCGACTCCCTTTATCTTATCCTTATTCCACATAAACAATAATTATATTTATTTATAAATATATATATATATATATGTATTTAATGTATATATATATATATATATATATATATGTACATATATATAAATGAATAAAAATCAAATTTAAATCGGTACGTTTGACGTTCCAAATTATATTTATTAATGTAACCCAAAAATAAATTAAAAGAGAAAAGAAAAAAAAAAAATATTGAAAGAAAATTGAAAAATAAAATTAAAAAAAAAAAAACAAACGTAAAAGTGAAAATCATGAAGTAATAACAAAAAAAAAAAAAAAATTATAATAAAATAAATAAATAAATAATTTATATAAATCCGGGCAAAGATGTTATAAAATACTCTTGAAGTTCGATTCGTAATCGCTATCGCTATCGCACGGCTATTTCATCATAAACAATTGCCTTGGAATTCCAGGAACATTAATAGAGATAGAGATTTGCGTACATTTTTACAAACATACATATAAGTGTTTATTTTGTTATGCTATGTTTTGTTTTTAAAGAAACAAATTTCAAAAGAAATAATAAAGAAACGTATTAATCGCGTTTTGTGTCGTCAATTAATAAACGTTAAGACTAAGCGAGCTTTTTAAATAAGTCAGCGCATCAGTTAAAGTCAGCTTGCTGCCCTTTCACTTTTCGACACGTGACATTTGTAATAAAAAACCCGAAAATTTCGCGTTTCATTATATCAAATGTTGGCGACGGTGATACTCGCTGCTGGTGATTTCTTTTGATAACAATTTCCTAAACGCAATTTACCCGCCCTCCTCTCCAACAACATCCAAAATTCCGTAGTCATGTTCAGTTCCTTGCTAATGCGTGGCTGCTTTTAATTTCAAGCGAAAAAATGAATAAAAAATAAAGAAATTAAAGGGAATAAAATGTTTTGCTTACAACACAGCATCTTACAAATGAATCGCTTTGATTGATGATCACATTACTACATCACATAAAGAGTCTCATAGCGAAGCCAACGGAATCGCAGAGGAAAAGAAAATATATGTATAAATTATTCTGAAAAGGTAAGCGCACAAACGTAATTGATGGGAATTTCATTTCACAAATTGTTGTCGCTTTCATTCTATTTTATCATTATTATTTCTATAAATATTCACCGCTGGATTGCGGTGGCATGCTAAGTTTGCCGCACAATTGTGTAACGGTTTGCAATACCGCAGCGAGAAATCGCACTAAGCCGCAGATCGAAACAATTCTAAATGTTAAATCTTCGCTTTGTGTGCGTGGATGCGTTTATGTGTGTGTGTGTGTGTGCACATTAAACAAATCAAATGCAACCAAAGAAAGTTTCCTTTTGATTTGTACGACAAACCTTATCGAAAACCTAACAGAGTTCTTAATAAATTATTGCAACTAAACGACGTTTAACACGTTCGCAGGCGTGAATGCTAAAAAATTCAAAATTAAAGCTAATTAATTTTCATTTAATTTTAAACCTAGATTTGCTTAATTATTGCACTTGCCCAAGTATTGATTAATTGATTTTTCGACTTTTTTTTCATATTATTTTACTCCTCCCCTCTGTTTCACTTCAACCGCCTTTAAATTTGCGAATTTCTGCATACCAGAAAGAGAGCACATTCTCTCAATGGCCCCATTTTCTCACGTTTTCTCTTATACGAATGCCATATAACTCTCGTCATATCGGTTGAAAAATTTGATCTATTTTGTCGTGAATGCCTTCGCGTTCGTTCCATACATCGATTAAAATACTATCTACCGTTAAGGTTAGCAAATGTATCAAATCAAATTTCGGATATCATAACTTGTTTCAAAGTAAATTCACTGTCATTTTTCGCATATCATTCAAATTTCTATTGCTCGCGAACGTGTCAAGTCTCCTTCCTAGACAGGTACATATATACGTTCATGCGATTTTTTTCATTTATATGGGAACATCTCTTAATATATTGTGATATACGAAATCCGAGATCGAAATATATGATATTTATATATATATATATATATATATATATTAAACATTAAACATTTAGTTAAAATATTTTCCTTTCGAAAAACTTTTACGGACTACGCAACCTACCTAAAAAACCTGCGATTATATAAATGATTTTTGTATAGCAATATTAGCAATAACGAATCATTTGTAAGAGATCCGGACCTGGGAGGATTGTGAATTCTTTTTTGTTCGTACCATTAAATAAATCACCTGTGGCATATATTGTATCGGATTTATTAAATATTGCGGCAAAGCCTGCCTTCAACTACATATGGGGAGGCGTATTTAATAAATTGAATGAGAGGAATGGTGTTAGATCATTATATAATAAGAACAATGAGAGTGCACTAGATTCATTGTAATTACCTATCGAATTTAAGATGCTATCGGATCTTTGGATTTCTCGTGACCGGAAAGTGTGAATATTCTTGATCAGAACACAGAAAATAGCAAAATAGGGTAAGCAAGGTCTGCTTGTTTTTCTGTCCATACTTAAAACTTGATCAGTATTTTCTCGCTTATTCTGCTCCGCTCAGCTCCGTCACATAAGGGTTCACATAACTGCTAAGTCGAGTCATTAATTCCCCGCGTAAATAGCAAAAGCCTTGTTGCGTTTTTTTTTTTTTTTTTAAACACAGCGCTGCGTTCTGTTTTGTATTCGAAATTTGAAGAAAAGAAAACGGTTAAGTCAATCCAAAGATTCGTCACAATTAAAAAGAAAATCTTTAGTAGGACAGGCAAGATTAGCAGCACTGATCTCTACTTTATGACCTATGCTGCCAGATTGTTAAAAAGAAAGAAAAACGTAATTTAAAAACGATACAGGATCGGAAGGCAATATATACCGAATATGCAATTAAATTTTTCATACATTGACGGAATTCTTGTTCTTGATTATCTTTTGTGTATTTATTGTATTTGTATACATTTGAAAAATTTAAATTCAGGATTAATTTGAAACGCATTGATCGTTACAAACAATTATATCACGTCTCTATGATCGAACAAATTGATGATCGTAGAATTCGTAGAATTCAATGCACGATCGGAGTACAAAATATGGTACATATCTATAACCGGTGAGACTGTAAATAACCGCGTCCTTCTAGATCCTATGTTTCTCGTTGTTGACCCGTTGAGATATTCGTTACTTAGTTGATCAGAACAGCTGATTGATTGATTGATTGATTGATTGATTGATTGGTATGATGTTTCTTCGAGGGCTTTATTACATTGGCGGCTTGAGTGAGTCTTATATTTGTACTTACCTTACCTTACCAATATTTAGGTGCATAGTCTGAAATACAGAGCTTTACGAAACGATAGTTTGTGATTGCCTTTATGATGTCTTCAGAGTTTAACAAATTAAGAATATTGCTTAGTTTACCGAGAGAGAACGTTAAGTTGTTATTCTTCATTAGTATATGGAAAAAAGAAAAAAAAAAAAAACTATTCTTCCTTCTCTTTTCTTTTTTTAATCTTTTAATGCTAATTAATTTTCCGCTACTGCTATTTTCCATTCTTCATACACATTTATTTTGGCAAAAGTTTCAATTCATTTAATTTTGCCAGAAATCGACCGTCTATAAAAAAAGAGAAAAAAAAAAAAGAGTCATTTATTTATTCCGGTAGTTGTGTCAGTGTTGGTTAATGCCGGTGTGAATGTGTTGTACAAATTTCGTATGGTAAACAACACGTTAAACTTACTAATTTGCAATATTTTAAGCTTAATTAAAAATTTCCGAGATAGAGAATACAAAAAAAAAAAAAAAAGGAGGAAAAAAAAAGCGAAAAAGAAGCAAACACTCTCTCTCTCGCATATATTTTATCTCTCCGTCTCTTCCCTCATTTCGGTTTTTCACTTAGGCACATAGCTAGGTAGGTAGGTAGGTAGGTAGGTTGATAGCTGTAAGCAATGAACAACACACGTCAGACAACATGTTTGCGGTAATCTTAGAAGCTCAAGTGAATTTAAGGTTTATAAAATAGAATTTTACTTTTCTCTCTGCACTTGGAACGGCGAAAGCGCCTTTTACTTTACGAGATGTACTATGTTGGTGTTGTGTGTACAATAAAACAAAAAAAAAAAAAAAAACAGAAAGAATACATAGATAGAAATACGTTTGTGTGTACCTGTGATAAACAGCAAACTATAAAGAAACTGTAAATATTGTGGATGCTTTAATATTCTTGGCTTTTTTCACTTGGATTGCCTTACCTGACTGTTTGGCATGATGCATGCATATGAAAGTCGAGTAAATAAATTTTCAAAGTCAATGCAGTGTTGCTGCCGTTATTTTTCTTGTTGTTGCTCTTGTTGTTGATGGCGGTTTTATACTTTCTTAAGGTGGTGGCAGCACACAAAACCTAAAAGAATTTAGATATGAAAATAGAAAGGAAAACTTCTCTCTTCTTTATCCAACACGTGTATATCGTAAGAACATGTACCACCAAAATTGGTTGAATTCGTTCAGTGAAATATTGCACAACATAACACTCAGTTATGTGTTTTTTTTTTTTTTATTTTTATTTTTTTTTTGTTCCTTCTTTGCATTATTGTGTAAATGTTACGTGTTTCTGTGCGATAAGAGGAAAATTTTGGTTCCGCCTTTGTAAACACGTGCCAACGTTAAAACCTACATTAAATGAAAAATGAAAACAATGAAAAAAAGCGTAAGCGAAAATTAGATATAAACAGACGAGAATTGAGAGAAATCTCTTACATATTAACTATCGAATAAACCTAAAAAACTCTTCTTTTGTACATTTTTACCGTAAAGGGTACCCATCACAGGATTGCATTATAAATTACCCCATTCTTTTGCCCTAGCCGCGTCGTTACATGCAGTCAATTTGAAACGCAAATGTCGCAAATTTCCACCTCTACGATTCATCGCGCAACTATCCGCAGATATGATCAGTTTTTAAAAGGGACAGCGTTTACCCGGTAAATTTGTATCATCGTTAAGTGCATTTACATGTTGTTTGAGAAAATTCCGATCGAAATGGTTGAGTTCTACACTCTTTGAAATTCAAGTTGAAACGTCAAATTCAACTAAACAAGCCTTATAATGTAACGTCAAAAATGTAACAAAAAAGAATGAAAGAAAGTGGTACGCTTGCGCAATGAAACCTTTAAATAAAACGGTTCCAATATTTTTCTGGTGTAAGACGGTTTAGAATTGTTTGCATAAATTTTTTTTATTATTTTTAAAACTTACGGATATTGATGCGTTGTCGTCATTTTATTAGAATTGGAAATTTCTGGATTTTATGGTTAACGTTCTCGAATCGGAGGATAAATGTAAGCAAATCGTTATAAAACCTGATCAATGTTCTTTGAAACACGTTTCATATCTGAATTGTAGATGGAATAGCAAAGCGATTATAGCTTAGTGCATAAATTTTCAGAAATTAGATATAATAGTGGATTGCTGGTTAGGTACCCACTAACCGAAACATCGTATAATTTTTTACTTTTTGTTTCTTTTTTTTTTTATACTTCCAAGCGAAGGAAGAAGGAGACTATATTCATTTGGTCGTAATATTTATAAAATCAAAAATGAAGTTTCAGAGACCCTATAAACACACACACATATATTCTTGATCAATGTCTGTCGGTCGGTCCGTGTGCTGTTAACACTTTCACGGTAGCAAAAAATCAGATATCGAAGTCAACTTTGGCATAAGCATAGGCACACGCAGGTCGATATTGAAAATGGACTAACGCGTCTCCAAAGCCATATGTAAAGTAAAGCGTACATTAAAAAAATGTATCTGATTTTTTAAACAAAAAAAAAAATTTTTCTTTGGGTTTCGCTTACCGCTTATGAGTTATGGCGGGATAGCAGTTTAAAATCTTCTCGAATTATAAAACGACCACGGCCACGGCCACGCCCACGCCCACGCAGAGCTATAAGTAATAAAATATTTCATTGTTTTCATACACACACACACACACACACATTTCCTATCTAAAGTAGAATAACGTGCAATACTAAAGCTATAAGGTATTGATATGATAAAATGAATGGTGCTGGGTATGCA